TAATTAATTAATTAATTAATTAAAGTAGAAAGTACAAGTTACGCAGGTGCACCGCGTGGATCGCAGAGCACGCCTTCTTATCCAACTGTGAGAGAGAGAGGCGGGAAATAACGTGCATTAGAGAAATACAGAAAAATACGAGCATTACTGTCAGCAAGTATGGCATCAAACCTTAACATAAGGGTCCCTCTAGGGAAAGGCGCATTAGACACAGGTCGACAGAACTGAAGTATGGTGCTGAAGTGGTGATCGTATGCGTGAGTGTATGTAAAGGTCACTCAATGGAAATCCTCCTAAATCAGTGGTGGGCAAACTTTTCAAAGCGAGGGCCGCATCATTGGGCCGCACCTTTTAAAATCGGGCGGTGTGCTCTAAGATAATACGTGCGTTTCGCCTCAAGGGCACCATCTCTGACCATAATTAGCTGAAATGGCATTGCAGAGCGAACCAGAGACAATAGAACACTAATCTGTATGACACTGAAAAAGTCAGCCTCGGTTCAAGCACAAACATGTTGACTTTCACAAAAATGTATTGATTTAAAAAAAAAAAGTTTGCCCACCCCTGCCCTAAAAGATGGGTTAAACAAGTCAGAAAGTATTCGGTTGAACTTTTATATAAGGGTCACTCAAGGGGAACCCAAACCCCAAAAGGATGGCTTAGATAGGTCACCAGATATGCAGTCAAACCTTTATATAATGATCACTCAATGAAAATCCCCCTAAAAGATGGCTTAAACAAGTTAATCATTATACAGTCAAACGTTTATATGTGGGCCACTCAAGGGAAACCCCCAAAGGCAGCTTTGGCAACTCAAGGATAAGGATGAGATAGAATGAAAGGTTATATATGAGACAGACAGAGTTATAGATCGGATGCACGATTCTTAAACTTTAGACTGGTTACCTTAGTTTGTTACTTCCTGCTACTTGGCGACTTAGAAGGCCTACTGTATATTTCATATTTTTGTATTTAGTGCAGGGGATTCGAAACTGGGCGAATTACCCGACTTTAACTATAAAGTAATCGCGCGTAAAAAAGTTTTCTCACGCCCACTGACCCTAACCCTTATCTCAACGTTGCCGGCAATAAGCCCTGGTGTTGTTATAACTGGCAAACCCGCGCTCTTCCACGTGTCACCATCATATATAACTGCCAGGCCGCATGGTTATTTAAAGCCCAGTAGTCATAGACAAGGCGCTACATATAACCTACCTACATATCTCTTTGGTCATAGATAGACCCAGCTAGGGTTTGGTACGCGTATGTTTTTCTGGATGCCACGCACTGATGGGTATGCATTGCATAGACTGACCCCGTCCCTGACGCGCGTTTGCGCAGCGTGTATCACTTGCAGGTGTACTGCTGCTGATGCTAGATGTGAAGACGAAACGTTGAAGAGGACCCCATCTAACAGAGCTCACGCTCATACTCTTGAGCCTCATCTCTCAACCATTATTTCTACAAACATCCAAGAGAAACGAGAACGGCAAAACGTGGGGCGTTCACGCATGAATGGGCCCCGTAAAGGAACTTGTAGAGACATCAGTCTAGCCCAACACTAACTCGCACGCGCCGGGAATAACCCAGCGACTGTCTATACCCATCTACACTAACAGCTAGAGTGTCAGTTGACACTGACGTTTTGCCCAAGCCGCGATCACTTTTCTCAGACTTTCGGAAATTAACACGTAACTCTACCGGGGGAGTGCCTACACTTCCATCAGACGCTTCAACTAAGCTTAACGCGAACGAAGTGAAGCTTGAAGTAACCTTGCAGTGAACATTCTTCTGCGCTTTCGACCGAACAACCCACAGGCACTTGGAACGTCTCAATAAAATAAAAAATGTAAACACGAAATGTATTTACTACCAAAGTCTTAATGTTTCTCAACTCTATTTCACCTATTATTGCCGATAACTTGCTGTAAATGCCGTTCAAATGCTCATCTGCGACACACAAGTACACCGCACGCACGCCGTTGTGCATAAACAACATGAATAAGAGAGTATCATCACATCACAACTCTCTTATTCGTGTTGTTTGTGTACTTGTGTGTTGCAGATGAGCATTTGAACGGCATTTACAACAAGTTATCGGCAATAATAGGCGAAATAGAGTAGAGAAACATTAAGACTTTGGTAGTAAATACATTTCGTGTTTACATTTTTTTATTTTATTGAGACGTTCCAAGTGCCTGTGGAACAGCCGACCATCTGAACGCCAAACCCATCCAACGCCTCTTTCAGAAGGACAACGACGAATCTTTCAACAGCGCGACACCCCCTCGCGTAGTGGAAATACTTCGGCCCAACCTCCCCCCCCCCACACAGAAACACTGTAGGAGTGTAGGTTAGAGCAACAAGGCAGCTTGTAGTGGTGGTGGTGCGACTGTCTGTCCACTTCATCAACGTCGTTCACGTTCTCGCGTTTAGTAAACTAACGTAGTACTTAGTATCTTCATTATAAAAATCACTCAGCTCTACCGCGCATACCACGAGGATCTTAATCAAGTGAGTATCTGGTATATGGTATCTGGTCGTGAGTATCTGGTATCAAGTGTGACACAGTGTTTCGTAAACACTGCACGCGTATGTGCAGCTGTACCGGAGCCTGTAGCGGGAGCGAAATGGATGCACTGGTAGCGCTAGTGTATGTGTAGATCCAAGAAACGGTCTTGCTAGGGTTAGAACACCTGTATAGACCTGTAATTATAAACCTGTATAGACAATCAGTCGCACAGCCTCGTCGGGATAGTGTACGTGTAGCATCGCTACTGTGGAGCATAGCAGCCGTGCTGTGGAGGAGAGCTGAAGGGGTCGTTGTCGTATATGTAGTACCCGAGGTGTCGGCGAGTATGTCGCCTACGCCTTACTCCCTAACCCTAACCCTAACCATATCGAATAGTTACCTACCTCGGGTACATATTTAAACTACCCTATACGACAACGACCCTTCGTGCACCAGTAGACGAGCTCAGCTACCACTTATGTAGGACGATGCTGAACTAGCGCTCTAGCTCTGGAGCTAGTACCAAAGGAAAGGTCATACGTAGGCGCTTATAGACGCGCGCATTCATAATAACAGGAGCTAATAATGACAAATTTGTCATTATTAGCTCCTGATAATAACAGAAGTAGATAATAGGGAATTATTCCCTATTATTATCCTAATTCCCTATTACCTACTTCTGATAATAAACATCGTGTTGTTATAACAAATCATTAATATGTAATAATAGCACATGCGCAAAAACAGTGAGAGCATATAAGAGAAATTACCTGCAGCTGTTATTTATGTATTCCTGACAGACAGACAGGATGCCGCGAACCTGACAAACCTGTTTGGGTAGGTTAACGATAGGAGTGTATAATATATGTTATCTCCTGATTCTCAAGATTTTCCTGATTTTCAAGAGCTAATAATACCTAGAGTGTACAACGGAAAAACGGGAAAATAGTGCTATTTCACGACATGATTAT